GATGCTACCGCTCTCCAGCCCTGTGGAGCCCACAAGAGTGACAGAGACTATGCTCTCACAAGACTTGATCAGACTAAACTGAAACTGTGTTCACACTAGGCCAACATTCCCAGTGCTTGAGAACACAGGGTAAGAAGTCACACTCAACATGCTCACTCTCTGGAGCGCCACGTTTCCTTTCTTAGCTCTACACTGACGCAGAGAGAGCAAAGCTAACAAAAACAAGAGCTGGCGTGAAAAAAGGATTCCTGCCATTTAGCAGTAAGGCTCCCTCAGTCTGACCCAAAACTGCAGCATTAATGACACTGTTATCAGAACAGACATGACCACTCACTTATGTTTTATGTTTTCCTTCCTACTTCACTGGCCAGGGGATATGCTTAAAATACCCAGCTATGTTATTCACTGGGGTCTTAACAGAAATTATTAGAAAGAATGTAAAGATGAGGCCTCACTTAGGCTGGCCTTGAACTCCTGGACTCAAGTAATCCTCCTGCCTCAGCCTCCTAAAGTGCTGGGATTACAGGCGTAAGCCACTGTACCTGGCCTAAAAATGTTATGTTCACCTACTAAACATGATGCTGGTTCACTCTAGAATATGGGAAAGCTTATAAAGATCAAGATGTTAAGAAATCATTAAATTGTCTTACTTTTCTATAGAATGCCAGTGAAGATTCAGTTATTTTTAATTGAATGGGAGAAACTGAGTGGAAGAAAAAAATCTCTGTTCTTTCATATATATAACCCCTGACTCAAGAAATTAATTTTTTGTCAGAAAAAGAATCCTTGGAGCAATGTAGATACTGATGGGAAAGAGGACACAAATGAAGGTTATGTAGTATGACTACATTTTCTTTCAAGGAATCCTCTAAATTGCCTCATTAGACTGGGGAGTTCTGTTGTCCATTTAAAAGACCATTATATTAGACTATTATATACATGCCAGATTAAGAACACAAGTTAAAAAAGAAGGCTAAAAAGAAAGAAGATGAAGAAACTTGAAAACTAGATACCCAAAAATAATTTTTAATAATTTCAAACTTCTTAAATAATTAGTTTAGTGTTAATATCCTCATCTTTTTGCAATACTAACCACCCTTCTAACTAATAACCTTTTCAACTAACCCAGAGGACAGGGCCCTGCCTCCCACGAGCACTGCACAAGGTCTACCAGTTGCATGCCAGCCTGGCGTGGAGGTGGGAGAGCATGGGAAACTGCCAGGGGCTGAAGCAGGCACTGCCCAGACATGCAGGCTGCACCCCAATTCCTAACACAGAAGGGCACAGGTCGATGAAAATGTAGGTTCTCTCATCTATGTAAAAGAGGAATGCACAGGTAGGGCACCTGCGGGTGCCACCAGTACAGGGTCCTTCCTGACGTGATCACAGACAACCTTGGTGGGGAAAGATTCTTAGCTTTCAGGTGAGAGATTGAGCTTACTTAGGAAATAATTCTTATAAGTCATTATTTGGCAAAGAGAGAGTATTAGCTTTCTTTAGCCTTAAGCCACTCGAGACAGTAACACCAATTTTAAGGAAGATTGTAAAAACCCCACTTTCCAACTGTTCTTCACACTGACAACTTCCTTCTCACTGAACTATAACTTTCTCATAGAGGGACCCAAGATGCTCCACACAGCCTGCAACACGAAACTGCCCAGAAAGTCACGTGGAAAGCAGCTGAAGCACACACGTAGGTTACTAGCTAAAGTAACCCTTTGCTGTATAAGTCATGTGACAACCAGTAGGACGTGTTTCCATTGCATAGTCTGTCACTTGGTGGGTTAAGTACAATTGCTACTTCCTACAGGGAACTGTTTACTAGCTACATAACCTACCCAGATGTGCAAATTGCTAAGCCGTTTTTACAGAGAAAAAACAATGCCTTAAGTACTTTAATTAAAATCACATTACTAATTATGCATGAGAGTAAGGAGAGAAAGCCCGTCTTTTCTTGAGATGCTACAGACCCCAGCTAGCGAGTATCACACAGGAGAGGGGAACCTGGATTCTCAGAACGCAGAATGTCCCATCATCGGAAGCAACTTCAAGGTTAAATCACAGTCACACAATCTAACTGGCCTTTATAGATGGTCCCAAAGAACTGCAGAAACAGAGTGCACCTTCTTTGCCACTATTTCTCATGTGTTTAACACAAGAATAAAAGCTAGTCTTCACCTAATTAGGACCTTATATAAGGTTTGTTTTTGATTCTAGTATTGCCTTATGTTAGCATAAGTGCTACTATAAAAGACGCTAATTTTCATATTTCTGGAGTAAAAGACACTTCGTTCCTTTCTTTACATATTAATAGTAAACCTACTACTAATAGACTAGAATGACTCCATTAACAAGAAAAAACATGGACATCTCTGAGTTTACAGGTGTTCTCTCTTCGAAAGGGACTCACAAGACATAGCAAGAGCCAAGTAAATCCAGCCGGGATATCTGTTTTGGAATAGATGAAATGAGGGAAAACGTTTGCTTCTGTTCATTCTTTAACCCTACACTCGTGCTCCCTAAGGGTGCTCTTTCCTCAGCTATTATCAGGGGCATCTAAACGAAATGTATTTACTCAAGGTTTTTGGTGTGAAGCTGTAACTGGCAACATTCCTGATCATTTCCTGCCTCCTTACTCGAAAGCAGAGAAGGGCTTTTAAATGCACATAAAACAGAAAATTGCAAACAATAAAATGTGCAATTACTGCAAACTCAGTTTTGATAACTGAAGAATTTTAAGCAGCGAACACGAGGGACAAATGGCCAGAAAGAGTTCAAATTAACTGACTACCCACGGCTTTCCCTTCGTTGTGGAAGAAGGGCTGGCACAGAGGTCAGTGACAACGCTCATCAGCACACGACGGACACTGCGCCGGATTGCTGGGATGGATCATGACCTAGCGATGCTTAGGGTGGGCTATAAAGATAGTTTAGCAAACTAAATGACACTTTTGAGCAGAGATAACTACTCATAATCACTTCATTACAGTACATTAAATAAAAAAGCTGACTAACATAGGTTCACAGGTGAGAAATAGACAAATTATTTGTTCTCACCATTCAGAATAGAAATTTATGGTGATACTAAATATAATTTTGCTTTGTGACATAAGTTAAAATTTAGAAATTTCTCAATCTGCAAAAAAGGCAAAGCTATTAAAAATAAATCCTCCAATCAATTATCATGATTAAAAAAACTAAATATATTACAAACATATTTTTGGCCCACAAAAAGAAACGTCAATAAATACAAAATAGGGCATATAGTGATTTCATATAGTCATGATCTCCCTCGAGGCCCCAGGCACGTGGTGTCTGCATGATGCCTGCTGATCACAACATTCCTCAAAAAGCAGAGAAAGCAGCACTTTCCAAAGAAGGGACTGGTTGGAACTAGCATGGCGTAAAGAAATTACACATAGGAAGTAGGAAAATACATCCAAATCTTTACCTATTAGAAAGAAATTAAGAACAAATATTCCCTGACAAATGAATTACTGAACCATATCATTAATAGATATGCTCCTTCTACTTAACTTTTAAAATATATATATGTAAATTAGACAAGACTCAGGTATAAATAGCCAATGGTATCTCTCAAGGGACAGTGAAACTTCCCAGCAAAAGCAGAGTAGAGATGCCTTAAAATCTAGCTCCACCCTTCTCTGGGGAAAAGAAGGCAGGCAAGAAGAAATCTCACATATTCATTTCATAGTCACCAATTTACTAAACTACCAAATATGATTTTTAACCCTAAAATTAAAAAAACTCCTCAAAACTATTTCCAAATTTACTTAAACCTAAGTTCTTAAATTATTTTAAAAGTACCAAAGGGCAGATAAAATTTATGTCTAATTTCCATATTCTGCTTTGAAATAAACTTTAAAATGCGTATCCTTCGGATTGACACATCACTTCACGACTGGCACACTGATTCTACAAGTGTCTTCACCATGTTACAAACTTACCAAAGAATCACTACTGTAAACGTGAAAACTCAAAAGTAACAGACGGATCAAGACCTTCACAGATCCCATCTTTTCAAGCCTACCTGACCTATCCTGCTCTTTCACACCAACATACTCTCTTTAATTACATCGTGTGAATGTATTCCGTGAGAAGGTTTGAAGGCCAGTGGCCACCAGGCCCAGCACTGCAGCAACCCTGCGGCCACTCCTGGCAAGACTTCCATGACAGCCCACGTCACCAATGAGGGCTACGCTGTTTGTGTTCTGTTTCTTCCCAGGTTAACTTTTAACAGAAAAAAAGTTGTGCTGTTCACACAACCAGACCACCCTCCCTACTCAGGAAACATTAGTTAAGTCAGTGGAAAAGAATGGCCAACCTTCTTAGGGCTGTGAGATGCAGGAAAGAAGAAAAGTAAGATCTTGCACTCGTTATGGGGGGAAAAAAACCAAACGGATGGGCAGCTACTCCCTGCACTGCACTGCACGTGTGGGCAGGTCACGAGACTGCTTTTTTTTTTTAGTTAAACATGATCACAATTAAAGATGAAATCCCGGCTCCCTGTGGTGCTCAGCAGCTGGTGCTAAGTCAGAGCCGTGACCTGCCACACCACGTGCTGTCACTTACACTGGAACTCGATTAATAGGATCATTCTCTCTAGAACCACCCGTGTCAAAACCTGGCAACAAAATGGAAAGCACTGGTCTGAATACTAGAAAGAGTAAAGGGCACTGGTAATCTGAGGTATCTTCCACTTCCAGGACTTGCTGCTAAAAATCAACCCATCCAGTCTCTGTGCTGAACCACGAAGGAAACCACGGGCCTAGTGGACCTGCCAGGAGGGAAGGAGCACCAGTGCTAAGAGCACACGTGAACACGAGGCAGGTCCACCGCGGGGCACCTGCGGGCTGGGAAGGAGAGTCCCTTGCCCCACCTGGTATTTTTAAAATCTTCTTTAGGAAAAGGGGAGGGGGCGCTAAAGAAACAAAGATAGAAAACACAGGTCCCCACTGCCGGCAGACACACAGACACCCTCAGTTGGGGGAGGGGAAGGGGGAGGATGCATTATTGGTACTTGTAGCTGTGGCACCTGTCACCGTGAAGCCTGTGGGGGGCGCGATGGAACTGTGGCTGGGTTGCAGGTCCTTGGGAATGCCACTGTGGGAAGTCAGCTGGTGGCCAAAGGCTGCACTGAACTGCGGGAGCTGCTGCTTGGGGGAGGCGGAGGCCAGGAGCTCGGCAGAAGGCCCCAGGCCGCTGAAGCTGGTCTGCGGCAGCCCCGGGAGCACACCGGCACTGCTGGGGGTCGCGGTGGCGAAGGCAGGCTGTGTGGTCTCTGAGTTCGACGTGGTGGGTGGTGTGGACAGGGACGTGGAAAGAAGGTGCCCATCGGCGCCGAGCAGGTTGCTGAACGGCGAGGGCTCTCCGAGGCCGACGGGGAGGGTGGCCCAGTGAGTCCTGGGGTTGACCACACCGCCCAGCGGCACCTCAAGTTGGCTCGGGAGCAGGTGCTGCGCCATGAGGGGCATCTCTGCCGAGAAGGTAGCTGCCATAGCATCGCCGGAGAAGGACGCCGCGTGGGGAGAGGTGATGTGGTCGCTGTAGGGAGACGGCACGTGCTCACTGTCGTAATGGCTTCCATGGGGCGAGGAGTGCGAGTGGTCGCTGCTATATTGCTGTCGGGAGGTGATGAGGTCGTCTGCCTTGCTCAGCAGCTGGGCAGGGTGTGGCCTCTGGGAGGCATGGCTGCCGTCAGGAAGTCCATGGAACTGTCCTGGGAAGGCTCTCTCCCCAAGGGCACTCTGGCTCATCAGAGCGGCAGGAGTAAGGCCGACGTTGGCTGGGGCGGAGAATGGCCCCTGGATCTGCCCTGCCAGTGGGGTGGGTGGGTTGGACAAGGTAGCAGAGTGGAGCAGGTTCTCGTCCAGCTCCAAGCTAGGGAAGCCATCGTGTACCACACGCCCATTCAGCAGCTCCCCCAGGTCCGTGCTCACCTCTCGGCCCAAGGCCTGCACCCCGGAAGCCCCAGTACCTGTGGGGAATGCCCCGATCCCTCTATCTGACAACTCCTGGACAGACACTCCATCTGCTGGGGCGAGGACCCCCATGGTACTCAGGCACTCGAGGGACGTCACAGCCTGCAGGGCCCGCTCCAGCTCCTCAGCCTCTTCGGTCGTGGGGAGGAGGTCTCCATTCTTCCCTAAGGCAACGAGAGCACAAGAGTCAGCCGAGCTTCCACTGCTCTACATCACAGAAAGATACGTATGAGATATTTCTTTTTTATTTATTGATTTAGAGACAGGGTCTGGCTTGCCCTCCAGACTGAAGTGCAGCGGTGTGATCACAGCTCACCACAGCCTCAACCTTCTGGGCTCAGGTGATCCTGCTGTGTTGGCCTCCTGAGGAGCTGGGACCATGGGCACACACCATGCCTGGCTACATCTGAATTATTTTAAACAATATTCTGTGGAAACAGAGTCTCTCAACAGAGAAGTTTCCAAGATGTGAACTGGAAGGACAACATGAAACCACCATCTGCAGAACATATCTGAGAGGGCAGTTCTCCTGGAACGCGCATCACCATCTTCATTTACTTACAACATCCTCAAAACCATCTTATCAGTGCTGAATTCTTAGGAACCCTAAGGATGACCATCTAAAGCTCACAATGACTCCTCAATTACACAGGTGTTTACTGAAAATTATGAGCGCTGTGAACATGGGAACATGTTCTGTCAATTCAGATCTGAGATTCAGGTTGTGTAGCAGAGGTCACGGCTGAAGCGGGCAAGGGCAGGAGCCAGCACCCTCAGCACCATGTGCTCTGCCACTGTCATGAATGCCTTGCTAGTTAAACTGTCATAAAATGGAAGCCCATGGACCTACTTTGATTTCCTTTCTAATATTTAAAAAGTCTATTGTTAGGAATGTGATTAATCACCATGAGACTATCCCATTTTTAGTGGTGAAATAAACACTACGAACATAAAAGGCTCATCCTGAAAGAAGTGGGTCGATGATACACACAGACTCCATTTTGGAAAAGCCACATCAACTCAAGGACAGGGTATGGTATGAAAATTAGGCCACGTTCTCAAAGGCTTCAAGACTTTTGGTGAAAGTACCTTTGCTCAAAACTAAAGGAAAAGAATTGATGTAAAAGGACCAGAGTTGTCAGAGCTGTCAACACAGCACCCTGGAAGGCAGGGCCCAGGCCTTATGTAGTGACAGACCCAGCCAGGAGGAGGCTCCAGCACACCCAGAATGCTATGCTATGTCCTGCCTGGAAACTCACCTGAAGATAGCTCCCCTGAGCCAAAGCATGGACCCACCTTCAAAGAAATCGAAATCTTGTAGATCATCGGGCAGCCGCGGCAGGACATCTGCAAAGTCCTCCTGGTTGAGCTCCAGGTCGTGGGGGATGTCAGAGATCTCTGTGGCAATGTCCTCTGGAAGCTCTTCAGCACTCAGCTCCGGTGTAGATGGGCTCCTGGAGGAGAGGACTCCATAACCCACCCATACCAGCATACCACAGTGGGAAGGAGTTCACACCCAACATGCTTGGGGAGTCCTGACAGGTATATCCTTCCCCCTCGGGCACAGACACAGCCCCCTCAGGCACAACCCCCGCTGCAGCTACATGCCCTGCAGCTGCACTATGCATGGGTCAGCAACCGTCACTGGTCAGTATATGCAATGCAAATTAGCAGAACGAATCACAATTTGGTGTATCGAGTATGTCAATACTTTTTAGAATCTCAAATCGATCCCGCACCTTTCGGAGGCTGAGGTGAGGGGATTGCCTGAGCCCGCGGGTTCGCGACCCACCTGGGCAGCGAGACCTCATCTCTACAATAAAATAAAAAAATCAGACGG